GGTGACACACCCAGCGCGGCTGTGGGGACCGGACCGAGAACGCGCCCCAGGGTGGAAGCGCATCTGACTCCAGATTCTCACTCCCCCGTTCCCTGGAAACGCCCCACACTGATGCACAAACACTGGAGCAGAGCAGAGCCCCGCCTGCCTCTGGCCAACCACTCGTCTCCTTGCAAATCTCGAGGAAACTCCGGGGAGTGAAGCAAATCAGGACTGTCCCGTATGGTGAAAGTTACCGGGAAATATTTCCCACCAGACAGAGCCCAGATTAGTGGAGCCGCCGCTTCTGGGAGAGGGGGCCGGGCTGGGGCTTCAGTTATAGCTACTGCCCAGCTCCCCGGGCGTTATTCTGTCTCCAGGGGTGTCCCAGCCCCATGGAACCCTGTGACCCGACCCCTCCCCTGGCACTGACCCCACTGACCCGCCGTACACAGCCCCACTGAAGTCGTGTTAGGGAAATTCTTATTTGGGGCCTTTCTTCTTTCTTTCCTCCGCCTGGGACAAATTCTGTGCGCTCAAAAAAACCTCCCAGATATTCTCAGATTCACGAAGCTCAAGGGACCAGTGTGAGAAACTGGTCTGAGCTCCTGCATAATACAGGCCCTAGATCCTCCACCTGATTCTCTCTGGTTCTATCACCCTCATTAATAACCCAGGCTGGGATTCCACCCAGTGTCACCACGGTCAGTGACACATTCCAGCAGAAAGACACCGATCTCTCAGCATTTGCCACTAGACCCCACCACCTGTGTTTGTTTGTTTGTTTGTTTTCAGTTGAATAATTCTTCCACCGAAGGAGGTTTTTCTGGCACAAGGACCATTTTCCGAGGATAAAAAAACTGGTCTCAATGAATCAATAAATAACACCCCCCCCCTTCATTGTCTGGTTTTAATAATAATACAAAAAGGGAAGACAGAGAAAGAGGAGGGGGGGGCGCAGAATCCCTTTCCTCCACTTACCACGAGGGGGCAGCAATGAGGAATACGGCACAGCTCAGCCTTGGGGACAAGAGTGGAAAGGGGCAGTGGGTTACCTACGTAACTGCTCTGTTCTACATAGAAACCGCATTCGCACGTTGACTCTGTCAATTCCCCCTGAAATCTTGAGAGGAATAACTGGTAACATTTTTCATAAGAAAAGCAGCCACAAAATTACATCCAGAGGTCCCACTGATATCCATCCTACGTGGAAACCAATGACTTTGAGATAAAGCTAAAAATAAGGTCTGTCTCTTCTATTTGAGTCATACGACTCTTTTTAATATCAGTCTTCCTGTGTGCGCTTGGGCAAGTCACTTCCAGCCAGATTGTAAAAGTTATTTGGGTCCCAAAGAAGAACATTGGCACCTAATGACACTACAAAGGCTCCTAAATTCCTCACTCCCATTGAAATCGAGAGGCCTTAGAGTCCTAGACACTTTTGTAGATTCCCACTAGGTGCCCTACTCCATCTTAGGGCATCTAAATATCTTTTAAAAATCTGACTCTATTGCCTGGGTCCCTGCTTGGTAAAACGTGGCATTTCTTTACATCACTGGAGTGTTGTGAGGTTAAATACACTAAATCTGGCGAGGCGCTGAGATGCTATGGTAAGGGGGGCTCCCAGAGGTACCTAAGACAGATGGCTGGAAAATATGACTCTAGGTATTTTGAGCATTACAGTTAGCAGAGTGTCGCATCCAATTAATACAGTCAAAGGAAAGATTCCCGTTGAGTTCTATCAGCTTTGGGTCGGGAACAGAGCAAAAAAAAAAGACTTGTGCATTTTCTCTGAACCCCACGAAAAGAAAATGAGACGGCTCGGGAAGGAGTTTGTCTCTTATAAGGAGAGGGATATGCAAATAGGTGACTGTCTCCTGTTTAAATCTCTCTGTGTCCCAGCAGCACCCGGACAGACAAACTGCAGCCCCCTGTGTCTGTGCAGTTACCAGCCACTCCACTGAGGACTTTCCCCTCCAGCACCAGGCAAGATGAGACTTTGGCTCCATTTACTTTTCCTTGTGGCGGCTCTGGAAGGTATTTTCTCTCTATACATGCACTGGGGAAGGGGGCAAACGTTCTTGGTTTTCTGCAATGATCTAAAAACGTATTTTGTAAAGTGCTTTTATTGATATTCGTCTCCTGTTAACTGACGGGGAATCGTGTTTCATGTGACTGGTTCCCTCATTGTTTGCTTTTCTCTCTCCCCTTTCCCACAGGGGCCCGGTCACAGGTTGTTCTGACCCAGTCGGGTCCAGAACTGAAGAAACCCGGAGAATCCACTCAGCTGAAATGCTCCGTGAGCGGGTTCACTATCACCGACTACTATATGGATTGGGTCAGACAGGAGCCGGGAAAGGGGCTGGAGTGGCTGGTCCACTACTGGAAACCAGGGAGCGAGTATTATTCTCCCACCATCAAGGGGCGATTCACAGCCTCCAAGGACAGCTCCAATTTCTACCTGCAAATGAACAGCCTAAAAGCCGAGGACACCGCCGTGTATTACTGCGCCAGAGACACAGCGAGGGGAAGCCAGTCTGGGCTCAGACAAAAACCTCGCCCTGCAGAGGCTGGGGAAGGGATTTCCTGGGGGTGGCGCTTTCGCTCCACAGCAGTGAGAGAGACACAAAGTATCTCCCCTTGAGGAGATCCCACACAGCTGCCAGGGGAGAGAGAGGCTCTGCTGCCTCCATCTGCCCCTGGGGAGCGCAGGGAGCAGATGCTCAGTGGCTATTTTAGGGAAGAAGGAGCAGGTGCATCCGCCTTCACTCTGCGATGCCCCCACTGACTCACCAGGGCTTTCTGGTCAGCCGCTCTCCAGTGCAAGGCTCCCTCCTCTCTTTGAAAGGAGAAGCTGAGACCTGAGGAAAGGCCAGTGGCAAGGCTGAGTGAGGAATGAAGCTGGGGAGGGATAGCTCAGTGGTTTGAGCATTGGCCTGTTAAATCCAGGGTGGTGAGTTCAATCCTTGAGGGGGCCATTTAGGGGTCTGGGGCAAACAAGATAGTTGGGGGTTAGTTTTGCTTTCAGCAGGGGGATGGACTAGATGACTGAGTCTATGACCTTCCCCATCAGCCCATAGATAATTCTCTGGGGGTGAAATTCACCCCCGTGTGGAGGGCCTTACACAAGGGCCTCTGCCTGTACTGTGTCCGGCCGAACCAGAGGAATTTCTTCACCTCATGCAGCAGTATAGAAGTGCACAATCCTCATTTCCCCTGCCTTCCCCCTTCTGTTCACACTGAATCCTGTGCCGGTTGGGTGGGATATGGGCCTGTTTTCACGCACACACCTACTGTGCCTCGTGCACCTTTAGCACAGGGGCATTTTAGTGTCCTTCTCCTAGCTCGACCTCAGCCAATGTGCAGAGTGGGGGAGAATTCCATGGGAGTCGGGTGAGCAGAGACACAGCAAGAATAACCCGACTGATGAGTGTTCCCAGGGCACAAACAACCAACATTTTCAACCTGAACCATCAGGATCAGCCCCAGAGAGACAGAAAAGCGGCGCCATTGCACAAACAATTCCCCTAATCCAGAAGAAGGGGCTCGAATGGACACCAGTCTTATTTACCCTGTCTCTGCTTCTCAGCAAAAGGGGGACATCTTGACGACTTACAAACACTTCTTAGGTGCCCAAAGGCCTTTTGTTTCCAGAGTGCTTAACTGCCCTGGGTGCTTTCAAATATGCCATAGAAAAATAAATTATTTCAATATCATAAAAGCAAATTAATCATCCTTTGTTCTCTCACCTAACAAATGTAACATCTGTGGCCAATATTTTTGTAAAAGATCATCATGCCCCGTGCTTGGGTACCCATATTGCTGCACCTCTACAGGAATTTATAGCCAGAAGGTGCTGACCACTCAAATTCTCAAAATCAAGAGCCTTCTTAGTTGCCTCAAAATGGCAAAGAAAAGCCCCGGGACACTAAATAACTAGCCCTTTGTAAACAGTTTCTCCTGTGTGCACGGTAGGAAAACTGGTGTTGAAATGACACAGGCCCCAATATTGTAAGGATGCTATTTACCAGGGCTATTGTAAGGATAAATTTACCAGGGCTTTGATCAAGTATCAGGCACCGTGTTGAAGACACATCACACAGTCCTTGCTAGACGCTCTAGTACGTCACTCTCCTCTGTGAGCTCGGGGCTGGGAGCTGGAGCCCATTCACAGTTGATTTGATTCATCCCTTAAGAGAAAGGGACGATGCAACTAGGGATACTCACCTCCCCTGCTCTAAACCCCTCATTCCCCAACCCCTGCAGGTCTTGCACTGAGAAGCTGCAGCCTTCTGGGTTCAAGCAGTGAAGTACAGCAGCTAGAATCACAGAATCAGAACAGGAAGGGACCTCGAGAGGTCATCTAGTCCAGCCCCTGCACTCAAGGCAGGACTCAGTATTATCTAGACCATCCCTGACAGGTGTTTGTCCAACCTGCTCTTAAAAATCCCCAATGATGGAGATTCCACAACCTCCCTAGGCAATTTATTCCAGTGCTTAAACACCCTGACAGTTAGAAAGTTTTTCCTAATGTTCAACCTAAACCTCCCTTGCTGCAATTTAAGCCCATTGCTTCTTGTCCTATCCTCAGAGGTTAAGAACAATTTTTCTCCCTCCTCCTTGTAACAAACTTTTATGCACTTGAAAACTGTTGTCATGTCCCCTCTCAGTCTTCTCTTTTCCAGAGTAACAAACCCAGTTTTTTCAATCTTCCCTCATAGGTCATGTTTTCTAGACCTTTCATCATTTTTGTTGCTCTTCTCTGGACTCTCTCCAATTTGTCCACATCTTTCTTGAAATGTGGCGCCCAGAACTGGACACAATACTCCAGTTGAGGCCTAATCAGCGTGGAGTAGAGCAGAAGAATTACTTCCCCTGTCTTGCTTACAACACTCCTGCTAATACATCCCAGAATGATGTTTGCTTTTTTTTTCAACAGCCTTACACTGTTGACTCATATTTAGCTTGTAATCCACTATGACCCCCAGATCCCTTTCCTCAGTATTCCTTCCTGGGCAGTCATTTCCCAGTCTGTATGTGTGCAACTGATTGTTCCTTCCTAAGCGGAG